GTTTCAGCTTGGCGCAAGAGTCGTTTTGAGGTGTTGCGCTACGCTGTTTAAATAGCAAATCCATTTGCGCCACTTTGTGAACTCAAGTGCTGGTCTAAAATAGAGGTTAGTTACGCCCCATTCACACAGGGCTTCAACGGGAAGCATTAACTTTGAATGGGTGACGTCAGGCATTGCCGAACTGCAATGTGGATCTGTCTGCGCCGCTTCAGAGGCGTTTCTCACTGCAGAAGTTTGGACTAGCTCAACTTTTCAAGCGCCGACAGAAGCGTCAGCCAATCAGATCACTGTATGGAAATACACCAGCTAGACAGTGGCCTATTGTAGACTGAATTTCATTGGCTGACGCTGCTATGACGATCGCGTTGACCCCAACTTCAGACACGACTTCAGTCAAGCGTTGACACTGAAGCCCCGTGTGAATGGGGTGTTAAGGTGCATTGTTGGCACGTTGCTATTTTAAAGAACTGAAATACACATTGCTTAATACACACATGATGCACAGCAATACACAAATATCTTTACATAAGATAAAAATTAAAGGAATAAAATGTTTTAAAATTATTATTTCCTACATAAGTATAAAAAACGACAACTACCATGCCTTCTTCTCACAGGGCTTTTTTCAGTTTATTCATGACAGTATGCTTTGGTATAATATTATTATTAGCAGTGTAATTTATTTATTTATTTATTTATTTATTTATTTTTTATTTATTTATTTATTTTTTATTTATTATATGTATATTTGTATTTGTTTTAATAAAAACATTTGTCCACCTGTCGGGTTTTAGGCACGTATGCATCATTATGGGGTATAGGAATAGGACATGTGTTTGGATATAGCTCAGTTTTTTGACCACACTTCATTAATATTGTTCATTTATTATTTGCTGGAAATAAGAACTGAATTTAGAAATAGTTTTGAAACAAATCTTTGCGCTTCAAAAACATGATTAAATCTGTATGCTAATGGATGTCTTCAGTGAAGTGAGTTTCCATTGTTTTCTTACTCAACAAAAGTAAAGGAGTAAAGAGTAAAAGTAAAGTAAAGAGGCTAAATGGAGGATGCTCTTCTTTGTCCTCACACTGCAGATGCTGTTTAACACTTTTCTTGCTAGTAAAGCATTCAGTTTTGAAAAGTGGATTCAGACCCCCCTAAAGCTTTTGCGCCATGCGCTTTAGACTCTGCGCCTACAGTAGATTGTTAAAACAGTGCCCTAGGTCTTGTCATTTACTTTCTTCTTGCTGCATTAAAGAAACATTAAACATTGAAAATAGTATGGTTTAATTTCTGCTTTCACACAGTCACAACACAAACAAAAAAAAAATAATGAATTGATAAGATGGAAAAAAGATCAGAGAGAAAATAAAACTATTTGTATAACAGGCCTAAATATGATACAATAAGCAACAAGTTTAGATTCCCCTAGCATTTAATATCATTGGTCTGAACTTTACATTTGCACTACTCGACAAAAATTTGGAATGTTTTGGGTTGAAAATATTATAAACAAGTTTCTTATGCTATGCAAGGCTGTTTTTATTTGGGCTAAAGGGCTGCTGCTGTATAGTTTTACAGTAATCATGATAATTTTTTGCATATTTTTATGTTGTGTTAAAAAAACTCTTATTATGAAGCACATATTTACATAAGATGAAAAATTAGGATGTCTACATTAGTTCAGGACAGATCTAATATAATTGGTTAGTTTAGTCATTAGGGTGCGAAATTGCAACCGTTTTGGTCGCATATGCGCCCAAAATTTTATTTTTGCGACCTCAAAATATATTTGGGAGCGTTTGTGCGAGTGCATAAAATTGATGTGGTGTGACCAGTTTTCACAGCAACATGTTCACCACATGCGCAGAATTAGGAGGCATTCACGCATTAAGCATATTTGCACCTAAAAACACCAAACGCAGCGCTCAGGTATGGTTTAAAACAGTTGCGTGTAAACTTGCTGCAGTAAACAAAGCCTGCAATGCCTGCCCCGTCTTCAAGCTCTTCTTATTAACCCACTGCGCTAGAACAGAATGCGAATGGATTGGTTAATATCAGCTGTCAATCACTCAGTTCCGATGACATGGAGCTGCAGCCGCGAAAATGTAAAGGCCTGGATCCGAGAGAATGAAAACAACACTGACAGATTTAGTTTTAGAAGCCACCTAAAGTTACAAATAATGGCACATCTGATCAGTGATCATGTGCTAAATGTCAATACAGCATTTACACTTTTTGAAGAGTGGATAAAAGACGTCCAGTGGTTTAAGTCCGCTATACAAATGACTAAAGCATTCACCGTAAAACCGGTGGGACGGAGTTTTCTGGTAACAGTGTTTTCCACTGAATCTACACATTTTAAGTATGAGATGTTCTAACGTTATTTAATCCTTCATTTAATCGTCACAATGCTGTCAGTCATGCAACTGACACCACGTTCACTATCGCTAAAGAGAATGCATTCACTGAGATAAAACTATATTGCAGCTCATGAAAAGTGCGTTATTGCTATTAAGATGACGCATACAAATATATTAAACTTTAATAATTTATATGTTGATATCAGGGCGATGCAGTGGCGCAGTAGGTAGTGCTGTTGCATCACAGCAAGAAGTTTGCTGGTTCAAACCTCGGCTCAGCTGGAGTTTCTGTGCGGAGTTTGCATATACGCCCTGCATTCGCGTGGGTTTCCCCCACAGTCCAAAGACTGTCAGTAGTGTATGAGTGTGTGAATGAGTGTATATGTAAGTTTCCCAGAGAAGGGCATCCGCTGCGTAAAAACGTGCTGGATAAGTTGGCGGTTCATTCCGCTGTGGCGACTCCGGATTAATAAAAGGAACTAAGCCGACAAGAAAATTAATGAATGAATGTCAATATCATCTGTGCAATATCAGACACCACCCATGAGAACAGCATGGTTAATATTGCTAATTCAGTTCATCTCATTCATGTCAAGCAGCGTTTGTAAGACCGGTGAGCGCATGCAGATTTGTGTTTGTTAGTTGGTTTTAGAGTGTTAATATATAATAGAATCTGTTAATATAAAACGTGTAGTAATGGTGCTGATCATTTTTGGTGGGTGAGACTAAATTTTGTCTGGTGCACCTACATTTTTTAAGTTAGAAGCACCAGTCCTACCAAGAAAAAAAGTTTAATTTCGAGCCCTGTGTGACCATACACATTTTCTGGTACTGTCATCTTAACAGATGATTTCATCATCAAAGTGTTATCTAGACACTAGATATACCTAGATACATGACAGAAACATATTGGAATTATATTAGTAAAATATGTTCAAAATAACAACACATACTTAAAATAAATAAATAAATATTGTGTAATAACATCACAATTCATTGATTAATGCACACTTGCTCAATACATCTATTCAATTCTCAAAAAAAATAAAATAAAATCTTACTGTCTGCAAAACTTTCAGCTGTAGTGTATAATAACTGCATAGTAAGCATCAAATATGTTCTCATTTGTTGTGATTGTCACGTCATCCAGCTTCCTCATATTCATTGTGAAACAAGTACTTAGCTTACAATAGCATTTAGCTCATCATACTTAGCTTAACACAACTTGTCTCAACAGTGAATCTGTTCATTTCTTTAAGGGAATGACAACTATATGAGGAACTTAAAAGACACTGAAATAGATCCATTCCTCAAAACCGAACCTGATCTTTAAAACAATCCAACTAATGTAAGTTAACATTTCCAGACGTGAAAATGACATGTTTGAAATTCCCTGGCATTTCCAGGTTTTCCCAACTCCGTGGGAACCCAAGGGATAAAGTACATTCTGTTCAGAAGGTTGTATCTTAATGTCAAAGGTCGGGTCTGTTTTCACAACCAATGTTTTCAAGAGTTTTCCATCAACTGGAACTTCTGGAGAGCACTGGTAAAGCATATTTCAATCTCCGTTCACATCAAATCAAACACGGTGCCCGCTCTGACCCACAATAAACCCAAAATATCAAACAAGTGACATGAGATCAAATCCGCTTAACCCTTAAGTCATACACTAAAAAATCCTTCATGTTGTCGCAACACAAATCAATTAAGCTCTCTTAAGCACCGGTCAGATCACACGATTTTTATAGTCAGTTACGAAAGTCACGATGTCAGATTATTCGATTTCTTTCTTTCTTGATAAAATCTTGACTTGTCGTGGGTAACAAATGTGCTACACTACACGTTCCTTCACGAGCAGTCGTCGCTTTATGTCTACGACAAACGTTATTTCCCAAAGCAGTCCCAAGTGTTGCTATAACGAAATATCTTATCTTAATGAAATGTTTTTTTGTTTTTTGTTTTCAATCTCAATAATACGAATGCCTGCAGATAACGTATAACTACATTATTTAGGGGCATTCCATACAACATGAATAGGATCTAACTTCATTCATTCATTCTCTTTTGGGCTTAGTCCCTTTGTTAATCTGGGCTCATCACAGTGGAATAAACCACTAACTTATTCAGCATATGTTTTACACAGCGGATGCCCTTCCAGCTGCAACACATCTCTGGGAAAAATCTATACTCGTTCACACTCATTCACTACGGACAATTTAGCCTACGCAGTTCACCTGTACCGCATGTCTTTGGACTTGTGGGGGAAACCGGAGCACCCAGAGGAAACCGGAGCACCCGGAGGAAACCTTTGTTAATGAAGGGAGAACATTCAAACAATACAGAAACGCTAACTGACCCAGCCGAGGTTCAAACCAATGACCTTCTTGCTGTGAGGCGGCAGCACTACCTACTGCGTCACTGCGTCGCCCACACTGCAAAATATTTTGCTAATACATGAATAGAAAATAGTGTTTATATATATCATTTTAAATATTAGTAAATATTTGCTAATATATGAATGAAAAATAGATAGAGAATCTATCTAAGAAGAAAAATCACAAAATGTAAAACAATTCAGGTGCTTTTTTAAATCAACTTGTAATGAATGTTATTTCACATTTATTTTAATGAATAACGCTATAAGGGCATGCAAACACTGCTAAATATTTAGCTGTAAACTCTACTGACTGGCTTCTTCCCTGTACAATTTACCACAAGAATCAAACTCCATTCCACAAATTGAACTTAAAAAAATAATAAAAATGTATGTAATCATGTCATTTTTGGCTAATATTTTTTCAACAGCTTCACTTTCATTCAGCAACAGCTTCTGTTTTTTTTCCGGACAGCACAAACATGTGTTTGGTAATGATAACAATGTAGACGACCCATGTAAGTGTCTCTAGGAGATCACAGAGGATCAAACTTATAATTTCTTTTTAATGTTAACATATTTTCTTTAAAATATAAATGTATATTTTCCTGCCATGGATTGTTATTAAACACTCCCTTGCCTAAACTTGCCACGAGTGAGACAGAGAAAATGAAAATAAGCAGCAGTGAGAAAAAATCAAATGCTCATATTTTAAAATTAGCAAATACATAACTGAGATTTGTGATATAATCACAGTTAGGCATTCACTAAATACTTATTTTCCTCAGAGCTAAACAAAGCATCCATCCGTATAGTTGAATATTGGAGGGGCACAAACAAAAATATAATTCGTGTATTTTTCTTGGAAAAAAAAAATGAAACTAATTTCGTTTGGCATAAGTTTTATCCTAATTTATTATGTATCTTTTGTTAGTCAGTTATCCATAAACAAGAAAAACAATTAACATTTGAGGTGAAGTGCTTCAAAACAAGTCCGCTATATGCATCAAAACACAAACTGGTTGTGTTGGTTTGTTAAATAAAATAATAATCCAGCCTAAATAAAACTAAAGTGAAATATTCACAGTTTTAGAGAAGCCTATATCAAATAGTTTACACTATAAATTACAAATTTAAATAAGCAGGAAATGCTTTTCCAATGTATTCGCAGCACTGAACATGTTCCCAGATTACCTCAGAAGAACAAATTCTTTTGAAAGGCTGAGAGAACTCAGAAACTTATTATGAGAATGGAGATGTGTGCATATTTGTGCCAGTCTGTCAGATAAAACTGCTTAAAACACCTTAATATTTTAGAAATGATAGTTAAAGTTTGCATAACCAATGATTGATCTTATCTACCCCTGACCCACCCATAAATAAATATGCAGCCTATTTTTTGATTACCTGACCGGTGCCTTAAGGGAAGCACCTACTGATATAAATGATGTGCTACAATTGCACAGTAAAGAACGAGAAAAAAATTAAACACGCCAGACTTTTTACGATGGTGTCATGAGGCGTTGCTGGCATGGTATCGGTTGTCATGAACTATGCCACATTACGTTAGAAGAAATGATTCAAAATGAAAGGAAATCGTGCAGATATCATGACAAATTAGTGTTATCTGACTGGGGGTTTAATAGTTTTTACAAATTTAGGTGGACAAAATACAACAAATGAGTTTAATTAAATAAACCTAAGATCTGTGTTGGTTTAACTCATATTTCATAAGTACTTTAAACAAGCAGCAAATGTTATTTTTTGAGTAAAATAATACGTTTAAAAACTCTACATCGAGCTCTACTACATCACACGCATCACTTCTCTAAACTTGCATCCTGTCCTCTCACATTAAATACAGATCTGTTAAGAAACAACAACATATTAAGATAAAAATCAGCACCAGATGTTCCGCCAGCTGCCACGATCCGGTGCCACCCCTCAGATGCACACAGATGTGAGCTAAAAAGGTCAATCGGTCCATGACCCAATGAACAACTGCATGATCAAGCTTGAAAACGCTCTGCTTAAAACAGCGCTTGAAACACTTCTGTTAATAAGGAGCACGAATATAATGATATTTCCCTTTTAATATCGCTGTAGATCAGATACTTACATGACTGCAGGTTTTGTGGGGTAGATAAATATCTCTGGACCGTCAGCTAACCTACTAGATCTCCCGAAGACAGTTTGTAACAACGTGGGGAACTAAAGGCACTGCTGAGTCCGCTACGGCCAAAATCTCCTACTTCCCTTTTAACTCTGTGAAGGAGAGAGGAGGAAGGGGAGCTGTACGAAAAGAGGAAACGGTCAACAGAAGACCGGGGAAGAAAAGAGGACACTGGCGAGGACGACACGCGCAAGAAAAAGACAAAAACATGAATGCTTTAAATTGGAAGAGGTCTCTCTTTGATTACAATATGATATTACGTAATTGCTTTTGAAAAATAAAAATGAACTGACCAAATTGCTATATAGTAGATAAGGTTTTAACTGTTTGGCCCAGAATTTTTTTCTAACTTAACCCTAATGAACTTCTTTCACTGCCAGTGTGCACTGTAAAGCCTAATAAGTTAGAACTTTTCTCTTTGTTTTGACAAATAGGTTCAGGTAGTGCCTTTGTCCTGCTGCTGCTTCTGCAAAATTTAGCATCACAAGCAAATTGACCACGTTGTGTCATATAACATATATCGACCGATCTGGGGTGCGTATACCAAACAACGACATAACTCACAGCCAAACTATCATAGTTCAATGCATTGTTTGGTAAAAGAACAATGTATTGACGAGTATTTACCAAAACCGTAGTTCCTCTGTTGCAGATCCATCGTTTGAACCACATTATTTATATAGTAAAACATCCAAAACTACACTAAATGAGGTAGAGTCTTAAGAAAAAAACTCTAATATTGCAAATTAATGTATTACACAAACATGCACTTTGAAAAATCCAATATTAGTTTTGGTAAAAACATACACTCGTTTTCCATAATAATTGAAATATATGTAAACAACACATATGGACCTATTTATTTTTCATTACAAATATTATTTAGAATATTCTATATAAAATCACTTAGTTAACATGATTCTGATCTTATATATAGATCATATAAAAATTGTTAATGGCTGTAGGCCTAATTTACAGTAGGCTATTTATTAAAAAATAAAAAAGGGGCTTAATAATAATGATAATTATTATTATAAAGTATGAAGTTGGTAATTTTTAATAAATTATTTAATCAATTTTTTTTAAGGTCTACAATTTGACACATTCAAACCACTAAACCACTGCAGAAATGTTTT